GTCAAAGCTGTTTAACGAACAGTTTGAATTAATCAGGACGAAATGACAATTACTGTACATCCGGAAGAGCCTTAGGGTGCCTTTTACATTCTCTTATTTCGCTAATACTCTAAGGAACTAAAGTGATGCACGGATGGAGCAACATCACTTCTCCTCTGATAAACTGAATAATAATCTTAACACAAGTTTATTGCATTTCGGATAAGAAAACTTAAACTTTGAAGATTTCAAACTAGATAAATGTACCGGTTGATTTGACTATTATTTATTTAATTATGCTCTGTTTCTTTTGAAAACTTGTAAAGAAGTTAAAGAATTTCGAAAATTAGTACAAATTAGACAGGAAAGAAGTAGAGGAGAAGAAGGATAAAAAGGAAGTTGATTTCTAGATGTTAATTGATAAATATCTCTACAGTCACAGCGTAATTCTCTTCAGCATCTTTATACCGTAACTCTCAAGTGTCTCAACCAATTTAATTTTTAGCTATCTCTTCATCACGTGAAATTCGCAATATAATTTTCTTTAGCATCTGTGCAATTTTCTATAAGTGCTGAAGAAAATTGCATTCAATTTTCTACGATAAAACAATTTACTACAACATTTCTACAACTCATCGCACTTCTCAAAGACTGTAATTTACCTTAGAACTTTAACATCTCTAAATCTCTCTAAGCTCTCAACATAATTTTCTCCAAAATCTCAGTATTTCTACATCTCACTAAGCTCTCAATGTAATTTTCTTCAATACTCCCAGCATCTCTACATCTCACTCAGTGTAATTTTCTCCAACATCTGTACATCTCACTAAGCTCTCAACGTAATTTTCTTCGTCATCGCTACAGCTCAATGAATTCTTAATGTAATTTTGTTTTAACTTTCTGCGGCTCTACAAGACTATAATTCTCTTCAGCATCTTTAGCATCTCTACAGCTCTCAGGTAAAGAAAAAAACATTAGATCTTTTATTCTCTTTTAATTCTCGTTATTGCATTGTTTTGAAATAAATGAATTGATTAAAATTTATTTGAAATTACAGAATAAAAATTTTTTTCGTGAAACTGAAAAAAAAAATTAAGATTTATAATAAATTTATAATTAAAAATGAAAATTTTTGGATACGTTATTAATTTTGAAGGATAAATTTAGAAAATGTTGCATTTTTAATAAATTTAAAATGAAATTTTCTTCATAAAAATTCATTATAAAGTTCATTTATAACTCTAAAAATAAATTTTTATGATAAATATTTTTTTGAATTTTTAATTAATTCTCTAAAAAAATCATTTATCTTCCAACTTTAACATTAAAAAAATATAAATTTAAAAAATGTCTAAAAACACACGTGCATTTTCTCAAAAATTTGTATTTTTAGAAAATTTTATTTACATTTTATGACACAAAATTTAAATTTTTTTATGTTTTTAGAAATTTTAAAGCATTTTTGACAAAATAGCATTTATTTTTATCCATAAAACTCAAAAAATACACGATAAAGTAAGTTTCTAAACGTCTAAAATTATAAATTTAATTTCGAAAAAATTATTTCTTCGTCGAAAATACAATTATAATCTAAAATGTTGTATAAATCTTTTAAAAAACACAAAACTATAAGCTTGAAATATTATTGTTCTTATCAAAAAATACAGAAAATAGTTATAAAAAAAATACCAAATGTATTTTTTTAGAAATATTAATTACTCTTCACCAAAAATAACAAAAAATTAAATTAAATTAAAAACCAAAAAAAATGAAATCCAAAACAATTAAAAATAAAATTAACGAGCAATTATTTATTGTAACATCGTTACAATGCTCTCAATTTTAGTAGTATCTTGCCCCTGTACGTCATACTTTTCCTATTAACAATTGAATTAAATTCACGTGAATTTCGATCTAGACCGGAAGTTCATGTACTGTACAGGGCTTCCACCCCCTAAGCTTTACACATCCGGTTTCAACTTCCACCTACCTAACACCGTCCTCTAGATTAACGAAGGACAGACAGATAAACGTACGACAGTTGGAATTTATGGGTCTACAATTTTTTCTAATTGCAGCCAAAAAAAATCAAAAGTTGTTTTGTATTAAAAACATAAAAACACAACTGCATTTTCTTTAGTGAATACAAAAGAAATTGAAATTTTCTATATAAAAAGTTGAAAATTTTTAGAAATTTCTAATGATTTTATCTCAATACTTTAAATAAGATTATTGAAATAGAATTTAAGTCAGATGGTTTCTGACATCAACTCTTCTTCTTTTATAGTAGAAGAAGGGGGAAAACATAAAAAAATAAAAAATAAATAAATTTAAAAAGAAAAAAAATCGATGAACCTTAACGTCATTTGGAATCACACCAAAGTCAAAAACCGAATCAAGTTTTTAGTTTGAATGGATTTTGCTGCCAGTCACTTCAATTATTCAAAAAATACGACAAATAAAACAGGTATAAATAGAAAAAAAATCTAAAAAAATTTACTATTAATAATTTTCCCATAATTTTGCTCGAATCCAAAAAAAAAAAATCACCAATTTTTCCTTTCACGTCCCATCGAAAATCTGGGATTTTTTCGTGTATAAATCGCATTTGTATGGCCGATTTTTGGAGTATTTATTTAAAATTATTTACGATTATTTTTTGGAATGTCAAAAAAAAAATTAATTAATTAAATTTTCTTAAAAATTTAAACTGTTTTTTTGGGGGGGCCAAATTTATGCGTTAGAAGGCGTCAATTTTTAAAAGCGTTTAACAAAAAAATTGGTGTTTTTTATGTGTAAATTTTAATTTATTGGTTTTTAAATTAATTTAAGGTGTTTATTGATAGTTATTTTATCAAATAGAGTGTAAAAATCTTTCTAAATTCTCCTTCTTCTTTGTTAAATTCCTTTAAGAAATTGCGATTTTTTTATCTCCATTTTTTAAATTATCTTCGTTCGAGTGATGAAGACTGTAAAAAGAAGCGTTAAATTTATGAATCTTTCTGAGTTTTCTTTTAATTATATAATTTGCTAAAAACAATTTTAAATCAAATAAAATAAATATCTAAACATTTTTGAACCATTCAAACGAGATTCAAGCGTCAAAAAACATTGATTTTTAGTAATTCGTATCATTGAAAATAGGTATTTTTTTTATCCTTAAATCTTGTATTAGTTATTTAATTTTTTAATCTTTATCTTAATTAATTAATTTTTGTGTTTTTAGAAGATTATTAAATCGAAAAATAACTTAAACTCATTTTGATTTAGTAGATCTTCAAAGAGTAGTGAGTTTCTTGATCGTTTTCTCGTATTAAACATCATTTAAATAGGAGAAATCATCAAAAATAGTATTGAATTACAAAGAAAAATCATTTTAAAAGTCTAAAAACTCTTCTTTACGGTTCGAAGATTCTTCAAAAAACAACGACTCGACAATTTGTAGGATGTTTCTTTAGAATTAATTAAGTTTTCTTGGATTTGTTTCATTGATTTCTGTTAAATTCTTAAATATAACAAACTAAATTAAAAAAATTAATATCTGAAAATGTTTAAAAATTGTAAAAAACAAATTTTATTTTATTTTATTATTTTTTTTTCTGTAGAAATTAATTTAAAACCACTTTAAAATTTTCTTTGAGGAGGATGTTGTAAGTTAAGATTTCGTTTAAAAGCCTCGTTATTAATAAATTAATTAAATTAAAACATTTAAAAATATATATTTTCGTGTGTATTTTTAGATAAATTATTATTTATTTAATAAAATTAATTAATAATTAAGCAATTTTTATTGAAAAAAAAATTATATATAAATAATTTTATCATCATCAACTGAAAAAGCTAAGAGAAGATGAATTTTTATAGATTTTTCTAGGAAATTTTTAGGAAAAAAATCTCCTGAATCGAATGGCATTTTTTTTAGAATTAATAACAATAATACACAGTTATGCACTTTCCTTTTTAAAGGTAATTTATGGCCGTTGAAGATAAGCAAAGAGATAGCATCTCTACAATTGACAGATCATGCAACATCTTAAATTTCCAACAAAGAATGGATACTGCTTAGTAAAAATTATCAGCAATTTGAGATGGAAAAGAACCGTTTCCTTCGATCAGTACAATTTTTTTTATTATTATTTTTTTATGATGATGGACTTTGATAAAGAAACATTTCTAAAGCAGCTGCTGCCTTTCACAAAAAAACAGATAAAGTTTTACTTACACTCATATTTCCTTTCATAAAGATTTTCTTGCAGGATGCAATTCTTAAAAGAATGTCAACCCCCTTTGATGCGGACCATTTTATTGTTTTTTTATATGTTAAAATGTTATCTGTAGTAAAAAAAACGGTGGTTTTTACTACTTTACTCGTGTGACAAGTGAATGATATATTAAAAACAAACAGATTTTTTACTTGTTTTTACTATTTTTTATTTTTATTATAGATATAAAACTTAACTGATGAGGAGAGATCACGCTAGAGAAGTGCATCCATAGATTCTTGTGGTTCAAAAAAAAAGTCATAAAAAGTGAAAAATATCTTCGTTTTTTCTTTGATTTTTTAAATTAATAAATTGATAAATAAGTTAATTAATCGATTTACTATCAATTATCCACTTTTCTGGATCGTAAAATCGATCAGGATCGTCCACGTATCATCAAATGTTTGATGAGGATAAGTCGATTGTTATATGTGTAAATATTATAATAATTCCGATTTTATTAGAATTAATTAAGTTTTAAAATGTTATTTAACAAATAAATTCTAATCAAACATTAAATTTAATTAATTTCGTATGTTGGATAACTCTTAACGTCATTAATAAAAATTTGTTAATGCTCTTTCTAGTACTTTTCCAACTTGCAACTAAACATTCATTTAACCTTAATGATGCTCTCTTCTCTCGGATTTTAACAAGTTTCTTTAATTATTTTTATTGATTTAATGATAATTAAACTCTCGTAAATGATAGAGAAAGACTCTAAAAATACTTATTTATACATAGGTTTTTTTGTGTTTTCTTTTATTAACTTAGAAAGCTTTCACGCCACATGATGTGTCTCTTCAGATAACAAAAATGAAAACCGAACACGTTTTTAATTCAGTTCCACACATGGTATATCATCATCGTCATCATTTTTATGTCTAGGAATACCGAAATTTACGCGTGGACAGAATGGGATATACAATTTTTGTTTATTTCAGTCGAATTTTTGATGTTTGCAACGTGCAAACACTGTTGATTAGCTTGCAACACGTCCTGGTAATTCGTGAACTCTTTCAACGGATCATCTTCGCACACAGGGGTAAGGCACAATGATTTAGTTTATTGGCGATCTCAATCTTCAACTTCTTCATCGTCTTTCATGATACCCATCTTCTTGCCGACAGTCCTCACCTTCTTGACCACCTCTTCTTGCACGAGATTGAAGCACATCGCTATCAATGCCATACCACCCAAGAGATATAAAGAGCAGATGATCAGTTTTTCTTGTGTGCCACTATCGGATGCTATGGTATAACCCGGTACCAAATCACCGAAACCGATGGTACTCAGTGTGACAAAACAGAAGTAAGAACCGTCCAAGTAATTCCAACCCTCCCATATGGAAAATATGCCGGCGCCCCCGCAAATGTAACATGTTATGATGACTACACATAGGTAAATGGGTACAGATACTTTGATTTTTTGTGGTATTTCCATGTCTTCTTGTGGTTCATCTCTTAAACATACCGGTTTGTGATCGCCCTCGTATGCAACGTTGAATTTGGTTGGCAGACTTGGATCGATGGAGTTGTGAGCATTTGGTGTGTTGTCGCGTAGTACTATGTGATGAATTTGATATTGTTCTATGGGGGGTTTTCTCCTTCTCTGCTTGTTCTTGTTACTTCGGTTACATAATTTCCCATATATATACTTGAAAGTTTTGGCTAAAATGTTTCCAACGTTGGTCAAATAGAGGAACATTAACGGTATGCCAAAAATAGCGTAAGCTATTGTCATCAATTTCCCCCATTTTGTCTTCGGTGCGATGTTACCGTAACCTATAAGTAAAAATGAATGAATACAGTTACTGGAAAATAGTTAAAAATTGAAAAAAATACACAAAAATTTGGGATAAGAGAGAGATGCCGCGTGAGAGATTTCAAGAAGGCATTTTTTGGAATCTTTTATGATGCCCTCTTAGAAGAGTTGGTACGAGGGTAATATGCCCCCTTGGGAGAGTTGGCAATGCAGATAAGATAGCAAATTGAGTTAAAAGCTTTCTTGAGCATCTAAATCATAGCCTTTTATCCTCCTACACAGCATCTTTCTCAATATATTATGTATAAGATAAATCACAAATTTTGAATGTATTTTTTCTACTTTGTTTCATATTTTTTTAAATAAAAGACAGTAAATGCTACTGAAAAATTCATAAATATATATATATAATATAAATTTATTTATTTATATATAAAATAGAAGAAGAATAACCACTAAACAGAAAAACTGGCTTCTATTTTCCAATTTGAGATACATTATCTTATTTCCACGACAAATCTTATCGACCAACATAGACATCTTTACACTTCAAGAAAGCTAAAGTCCATCTTTTAACGTCTTCAGTGTTGAATTAATAGTATGATTAATCTTTTGCCTGTCACTAAAGGACAGTATTTTTATACTTTTGTGCTGGAGGATCGCCAAGTACACATCACAAACACTCTTTCTGTAACCAACCTAAAGAATACTTTTTTTTATTACTTTTTTCCCCTTCTTATTTTCCTCCTTTTCCTACTTCTTATTGACAGAAAGGGAATGTTAGTGATGAAAAACTGTGTATTTTATTGGTAAAAATAATATTGGTTATACTTTTTTTTAAACAAAAAAGTACATCTAAGTATCGTAAACATAAAGAAAACAGATTATATATATCTATATAACTGGAGGGAAAAAAAAAAGATTTTTTAAATGAAAACATTCAATAAATCGATAATAACTATCATAAATGATAAAATGTTTTACAAGATTATAATTTATCTGTAATTTTTTTCAAAATCTGCTGTTAAAATATCATTAAACCTGCCAATAATCCAATGGAGAGGATGGTACAAAACGTTGTTTTGTATGGTAACTCGAGCGTTATAATTTATGATTTACTAAAATAATGTTACTCTTGTTAATTTACTCAACTTCCAAGCTGGCTTCATCCCAAAAGAGTAATATATATTAATAAATTTATTTATTTTAAAATCTGCTTGTGTGTATATATAATGATAAACAGCATCATTTACTCATTTTCTCCATTTCATCCCCAGCATCAATAGAGGAGTACGTAATTTGAATGTATTAAATTAATAAAAGATTATTTTAAATAGTTAAATATATCATAAAATTTTCATTCTTAACAATTTTCTGTATATAATAACACATCTATAACGATAAACAACATCATTAATAAACAGCATTCTCTCCATCACATCTCCAGCATCAATAGAAGTGAATATGAAATTTAAATGCATTAAATTAGTAAAATATTGTTTAAAATTGGTTAAATATATTATAAAATTGTAAATTTTTAACAATTTCCTGTATTTAATTAAATATGTTTATAAAGATAAACAAGGTTTTCTTTCTAGCATTATTAGAGGAGAGTTCAAATAAACACTATTTGCCTATTTTCATCAATCCATCTCCAGCATCAATGCATGATATTATACAATTTGAATACATTAAATTTATAAAATTTCACTTAAATCGTGTAAAATATTATAAATTTTAAATAATTTTCTATATATATAATTATATACAGCATCTTCTGTTCTACTGATGCTGGAAATAAATTTATAACCTGCACCAGTAGAAGAGAATGAACATCATAATTTAAATGATTAAATTAGTAAGAAATCGCTTAATATACTTTAAAAACTTATGAGATTTTTAATAATTCTCTCTATATATAACGATAAACAGTATTCTCTCTTCTACTAATGCTGGAGATAAATTAATCTCCAGTAGGAGAATATGCTAGAGATAAATTCACGTTCAACATCACTAGAAGAGAATGTACACTTTAAATGCATTAAATTAATAAAATTTCGCTTAAAATTGTGTAAAATATTATAAATTTTTAACAATTTTCTATACATATATATATATATATAATGATAAACAGCATCCTTTCCTCTACTGATGCTGGGGATTAATTTATCTCTAATAGGAGAAAATGATGGAGATGAATTTATCTTCGGCATCCGTAGAAGAATATTTATAATTTGAATGCTTTAAATTAATAAAAGATTATTTTAAATAGTTTTAAATATAAAATTTTAAATAATTTATTATATATTTATAACGATAAACAGCATCCTTATCTTTACTGATGCTGGGTTTATCTCCAGCATCAGTAGATGAGAATATGCCGGAGATGAATTCATTTTCAGCATGAGTAGAAGAGAATGTACAATTTGAATACATTAAATTAATAAAAGATCGTTTAAAATAGTTGAAAAATTTTATAAAATTTAAAATTTTAACAATTTA